ATCCGCCTTGGTCCTTGAGCAAGGTCACCTTATTAAAGCATGCATGCAATGTTCCATCAAATGTCCTCTAAGCAGCATGGGGTACGCTTGGCAAGGAAATTTCGATGTGTCATTCCTACTTGGTAATGGCCCTCAGCAGAAGTCCATTTCTCCTCCTCTTACAGTAACATATCCATTGGGTATATGTTCTAAGGGGATGCCTCAACCAAGATAGCACCAAACTCCATGCATACTATGATTTTTTCCATATATATATATACCTATGATAAAATGCTCATTAAAGAGTTCAGTATCCTAGATACCAGTGTTACTTTTATTTCCTGCTTTACAGATGGGGAAAATAAAGCTCAAAGGGGGTAAAAAGAAACTTGTTCAAGGTGCTATAACCAGTAGGTGCATGGCCACAATTTAAACCCAGACTCAACCAAGCACCCAAACAGTGTAATATCAAAGCACACAGCCCTGGCACCTAGGAAATGCTCAGTGCATACATGTTACTGTTTATCAATGTAGCTCAGTGAGCATGAGAGACCAGATGTTACTCTGTCCTTCATGTATAACGCTCTGGTGTCTCCATTAGGCATCTTCTTCCAGAAGAGCCCAGTTTCATCTCAACTGAAAACTTGCATTTGAATGATACCCCTTCTCCCTACTCAACTTCTTCAACTCTGTCAACAGCTTCTTCACTGGCAGATATAGCCCTTGCCATTAATTTTTATATTTTTAATTCCAAACCTATTCCTGCATGTGTGTAACCCTCTTTTGCTATCAGCAAATGGCTTGGTGTCCACAAGTTTCAAGGCACATGTTACTGACATCTTCATCTATGCTCAATACTTTCTGGTGCAACATGTTACCTTCCATTGGAACATGTTTCTGTTCATGTCTCCACTCCCAAATTTAATACCTTTTTTCCATCTTAACTAAACATTTATCACAGATGGTGGCCATCATTTTTTCAAGCAAACCTGTTATGAATGTTTCCCTTTTTGTAATTCCACAGGTAGATGATCTGTTCTTACTATGGATTTTAGAAATCTCAGCATGAGATTTTTTTTTTCTTATTAAGTTCAGAACTTTTGCCTGTTCACTTATAGGAAGCACTTTGGCATATTCAGATTGCCAGCATCATTCCTCTGGTACAATGGAACTTTCAGTTAGTAAAATAAGGGTGACTTGAACATCAGCACTATAATATTCCAACAGTTGATCTGATAACTAAGATGGTTACTAGATAACTAATGGATGGGTAGAGTACGCAGTTTGGATATACTGTGCAAAGAAATGATTCATGTGCAAGGGAGGATTGAGTGGGACAGAACAGCATACTATTTAAAACATATGGATTATTTATTTCTGGAATTTTCTGTTTAATAGCTTCAGACCACTGTTGACCATAGATAACTAAAACTGCAGAGATATAAACGATAGATAAGGGGACTACTATTTCTTAATCTGTCCATACAATCAGTTTTCACCAGTAGAATGAGACAAGAGGGTTGGTGCCATTTCTGGGACCAGATCTTAAAAGACTTTGTAGTTTTTGCTTTTGCTTTCTTCTTGAAACATAAGCCTGCTGGTCCAGGATAAGAGGCCACTTGGAAGGGAACTCCAGTGTCCCAACTGACAAGATGAGCAAAGACATTTTGTTCCTCCTGGCCCAGATGACTCTGCAGCTAAGTGCAACCACACACATAGGCCAGTGAGACAGCAGAAAGCCCTCCCACTCAGCTCACAAAACCATGAAAAATAAATCCTTGTCATTTTAAGCTCCAAAATTGTGGTGTGATTTATTAATTGGCAATAGATAACTGAAATACCTGTGTTCTCATTTTGGCTTTGCTACTAGTTCGTTGTGGTGTGTGGAAATGTAAACTGTATAAATACTAAGCTTCATGTTGTTCCAGTGTTATGGGAACTTTCCCTAAACCTGCTATCTTGAATCCCTCTGTGAGTTGACAGAAAACTGTAAAGTTCTAGGATGGGTGACCAGCAAGGTGAATCTTAAAGATGAACAAATAAGGTCATTGCTATTGTGGTGGGACAACATGCATCTCAAAAACACACAGGCAAACAAAGTTGTCCTTATGTGCCTCATTGGCATGTAAATCATAAATTAATGCTTTGAGCAAAAATATGGGCTTGGGCATCGAAAGTATAGGAGGAATAGAATCAGTTCAAAATGAAATTGTTCTGTTTCATCTCCCATCATTGTGGTTGGGGAGCATTTTGCAAAGGCGTGTATGTAACAATGAATGTAATATTACAAGTTGGCTGTTATCATGGTCAAAAATCTGTTGGAATCTGTGCATAGAGTTTGTGTAAGTCAACTGTCAGGAGTCCAAAGAAGCCCGTCTGCTTCCTTTAAAGTTATTACACTGTTATTCATTTCTGCACTTTTATGAACTAACAACATCATCTCTTGCAATTCTGCGTAATTGGTGATTTCTGATTGCCTGGCTGAAATTCCGTCTTGATGCTGGTGGTAATCATTGCCTGATGGGAATGTTTCACTCTTCAGCATGTGTGGGCATAATTATTTGAGATTCCTCGGTAACGTTAATCAACCCTGAAGGGGACTCCCCGGATGTCACCACAGAGGTAACATCTAATGTGTCTGCTATTTTACTTCCTCTGATCTCTGTTGAAGAAGTAATCATCTTCTGTTTACAAAACTAATCTAGTGAGATTGGACATGTTATATGAAGCATAATCTGCATCTTGGGCAGACATCTATCTACACCTGGTTATTGATATGTGCTGAATAACATTAGCAAAGAAATGGAATTACTCTGAGTGAAAGAAATATGCACCCGGTAACATACCTCATCCTTTTTAAATTGCCTAGGAAATCTAAGTTAAACGAGGACATATTAGTAATAACTGCTTTTCCCCATTCTTTCCTCAGATTTTTCTTACCTGCCGTGACTGCTACCAGGTACTGTTGAATTGAATTCTGACATTTTCTATAATAAGACAATTTCAAAACTAACATAACATATAATCTCAAAGATATTTCTAGCTCCAAATACCTGCTGCTATGGCAACTTCCAAGAACTCACTTTTCAAAATATTTGGATATACTGAGAGTGCTCTAAAAATTTACTAACTTTTCCAAAACTCTCTGATTTTAACGAAAGCCTACTTTTATCTACCTGTTTAAAATATTTCTGTGCAGCCACGCACGGCTGTGCTCTTCTATAATCCCAGTGGCTCCAGAGTCTGAAACAGAAGAATCACAAGTTCAAAGCCAGCCTCAGCAACTTAGCAAGACCCTATCTCAAGATAAAAAGAATTAAAAAAAAAATGCTGGAAATGTGGCTCAGTGGTTGAGTACCCTTATGTTCAAACCCAAACCCTAGTACCAGGAAAAAAAAAATTCTTGTTCATTGTAATATTTGTGAACTTGTTTTAGAGTTTAAACTTCAGCTGATAAAAAAAAAAACATATCAGTATTTTGAGAAGCAAAGCATGTAAAGTTGAAAATATTACATGAACATTAAGACTGTGACACAATTAAGTCCAGCATTATTCTGGATTCCATACCTGACATTATGTCAATAGAAGTAAACTGGCAAAATTTCACATTAAGGTTTTTTGTTTGTTTGTTTGTTTTGGCAATTTCTTCTCCTCATGTCTTCCTCACAGAAAAATATAGGAATTGACAACAGGTACAGAAATTACAAGGGAATACCCTTTTCACATCTGCGCATTTTCACGTTTAAATGGCAACATCCATTTCTAGAACATTCCATTTTCAATGCAGTGGGAGTTCTCTCCCTCATCTCTTTGAAGGAAGCTGTGTAATGTTTGGGAAAGAAATCTGGCTGGAGGATGCCATGATTGTCCCAATATGGCTGCGTTTATAGCCAATAAGATAGCAAGGAAAAATATTCCAAAAGCCTAAATCTTCTCTATTGCTTACTAATGAGAAGCATTTTGTGAGAATGTTTGGCATAGTGAGCGAAGGTTGCTGTGCTTGAGTAGGCTAATCAAAGAAAGAAGTTAACCATGGGGAAATTTCCCCACCTCCTGAACAAGTGGTGAGAAGCTCTGATGCTATCTGGAATTTTATTTTATTTTTGTAAACTTTATAATAAACTCAGTTTGGATATTATGTTTTGCCTTTATACTAAAAAAAAAAAAAAGTTTGCCCGAATTATATAAAAATCATTATAAAAGAAATGGACTATGAGGAGAAGCAAAGCATGAGGAGGAATTATCTCACAGACAGAATTTCGTAGATTTTTTTTCCTCTAAAGTTTCTTTTATTGTATGTGAATTGTAATTGTCCTAGAATTAAAATTGAATTTAGGTGAAATAAAACTGAAAAACACTTGGGAATATTCCACTTTTGACATTGTTTAACAAAACTTTGTGTGCAAGGTGAGGAAGTCCTTGCCTCTCAGCACATTTGTATTTCCATCATGCTAATTGAACAACTGGTATAAACTCAAGAACAATATAAATAAACATAAATAAAATAAGCAATAGTAAATATAACCATAAATAAAATATACAAGTGAGCTCAAAATTCAGAAGCCAGTTTTTAGACGCAACTGCTTCATTCTTCACTCCATATGTTTAGGTAAAACTCTTAAGAGTCTGAGTTTCATGACACAAATAACAATTAGAATGGACTTAAAACATCATCTTTTCCAGTGCTTTCATTTCAGAGGTGAACCAAGGCTGAGAGATGGTTAAAAAAAAATTATCTAAGATCACATGCTTACTCTGTAGTACTAGAACTACATTTTCAGCCTCTAGAACCTGGTTCCCTGACCCATCAGGAGAGGTTGAATAGGAAGCGTTAAAAGCCTACCTTTATTACGTAGAGCACTGGGAAAGCACAGAAGGTGGGTAACTGGGCACCCCTGCTAACATTCAGGGATATTTCTGTCTATGGGGAGGAAGGAGAAAAAACTAGTGCAAAGTTTACATTCTGAGCTGAAAACTTCCTGTTGATGTAGCCAGTGCCTAGCAGTCTAGTCTCTTTCTCAATATCCATAGAGATTATCTCATTAAAATATAACCCCAACAGAGTGCAGTGATGCATGCCTGTAATCCTAGTGGCTCAGGAGGCTGGAGCAGGAGGATTGGGAGTTTAAAATAATCCTCAGCAAAAGTGAGGTGATAAGCAGCTCAGTGAGACCCTGTCTCTAAATAAACTACAAAATAAAGCTGGGGATGTGGCTCAGTGAACAAAATACACACACACACACACACACACACACACACACACACACACACACATCCCCAGCTTTCTAGGAACAGTAGCCAGAAAAGCCCTCATTAAATTTCATTTGTTTTTAAGCAAATGGCTGTTTTTGCTTCCAAAACTCACTACTCAGAGCTGGGTTTAAAGTTTGCTTTGTGACTGCACAATGGATCATGGATGAGTGAATGGGACTTCACCTTTCAAAACTCTTTGGCTGGAATTGAAAGCTAGAATGAAGCATGGCACGAACAGTCGCCCCACCCCATACAACCATTCTACCCTTTGTAGTAGAATCCCTGATTTATAAATAGGCAGATAGCATCTTAGAATATAAGCTACACTTCCCTATTCTCCTATGCATTATGGCCGCATGATCAATTTACAGCTTTCTCAATTTTGCAGGCTTTGTCAACATTGTCCTTCCTGACATTTGGTGATGCTTAATCCTTTGTTGTGTGGTCTGTCCTGTGCATCACAGGATAATCAGCAGTGTCCTTGTACCTTGTACATTCTAACCCACTGCATTATATTCCATCTTAATAAATTGTGACAACCAAAATTGTATTGTTAAAACTCCCCCTAGTTGAGAAACACTAAGTTAAAGGGATGTAAGTGGAAGTATCCTGTTCTGCTTCTAGGAAATAGCTATAAACCTCTCTGAATGAGGCATTCTTTCTCCTCCTTTCCTGTTGTAATGCCTGGAATTTGTACAACTGTTTTGAACAAAGATAAGGAAGCACATTAAAGAGAGAAATGGAATAAGGTCAGAGGAGAGAGGGTCGCTATGATCAATGAAGTCATCTACAGGCATGGTTTTGTGTATCTCTGGACCTTTATATAAAACTGACACAAACTTCTACCTCCTTTACTTCATCATTATGTTGATTTCTATAATGAGGACCAAGCTCCCCTCCTTACTGTCATCTCTTTCTATTTTTCTGAAACAGAATCATCTTAAGAGGGAAATATTTATTCTCACAATTCAGATACATGTGACTTGTCATTAAAGAATCTCCACTTAAAGCTGCCTCCCTCCTTAAAGGAATTTTTCAAAAAGTCAGATCAAAGGTGAACGGATGTAGATCAGTGGTTCTGGAACTTTGCTACATATTGGAATCCCCAGCTGTGCTTTAAGATTCCTCATGCACAGGCTGCAAACCAGACAGCTCTCAACAGAACCTCTGGGAGTGGGACCCAGAAGTCATTATTTTGTAAAACTTTTCAGGTAATTCTAATATGCAGCCAAGATTGAGAACTACTCATGTAGAACATATTTTCTTCTTAAATTAATTAAGCATGGTTGCTTTTCTTTGGCTTGCTCTGATGATATTATTGTGCAATATTTCTACTTCTACTCATATTTAGTGTACAAATTCATATTTAGTGTACAGATGTTGAAAGTGGATCATATATAATTGTATACCAATTAGAAAAATACGATTGGAGAAATATTTTGATATCTCACATCACTGAAAATAACTGAGCACATTAAAGTAAGTGCCATCTCCACCATTCTTTCAAAATACACATGCACATACACACATATACACACAGGGTGTAATGTAATCAATAAAGGCAGATGGACTTGAGGGGAAAAAAAAGTTAGCTCTGCTCTGATGGTTGAAAAGTTCAGTGCATAGAGTGTAAAACAGAGTGAAACCCTGTAAAGGCAGGTATGGGCTGCTATGGAGTTTAGATGTTTCATTTTGCCCCAGAAGTATAAGTTAAACAGATGGAGTCCCAGCATCAGCCATCACCATGCAGTTGTGGGACTAATTTCTTTATCACCATCATCAACTCCGTCTATCCAAGGAGAGCTACCAGCTTTCTATTCAAGGGTCAGGAAGGCTTATGACAATTTGCACCACTCTCATTTCTGTTTTGTCCCCTTCCCCTCAATAAATAGGTCATGGTCAGTACATTAAGTCAAAATATGTGAGTGTTCTGAGAATTAAAACAGACTGACACCACAAAAAAAAAAAAAAAAAACCATTCTCAAGTAATGGGGTTTCTTTTAATGCTAACTAAGAAAGGTGAAAAGACAGAAGAAGAAAGGAAAATGTCACAAAATGCATTATATTCCTACCATCTGCCAGGCACTGTAGTAGGCAGTTTACTCATATTATTTCTAAAAAGCAATTTATAAAGCAATTTTCACAAATCAAAGTGCTTATGAGAGTCATGGGAGGCTGGAGGTAAAATTAAATTGAAAGACCATCTATGGGCAAGAACGTTAATGATGTGCCCAGGCTTACTTGGCATGTTTGGGACACAGCTAGGTCCAAAAAAAAGAGCTTCTAATGTAAATGGGTTATTTTCATTTTTTGCCTCTCTTCCACCCACCTCTTTGCTGCTCACCATTTACAGAATTTAGTGAACCGAGGCAGGTCCTCTTCACCCAGAACAGAATAAGGAAATTGGTCTAAACTACACTATAAAGGATGGATGCAAGGCAATCTCCTGATGCCAGCATCTCTTTGTTTTTAGAAAACATTGGAGAACATTATCTACTGGTTCTTTTTCAAGATTTAATTTATTGTATCTTCTTATAAGTTTACTTGCCTAAAAGCAAAGGTTGGAGGTTCCAATGTGGCAACCCCATGAAATTCCTCAGCTTCAAACAGAGTTCTTACCAACACCTGCCTGACCCTGGTCAAGGGTGGCCTTCTCAGCACAGCTTATTTGTTGTTATAAAATAACAACAATAGGGCACACTCATTTCACACTATGGGCTAGCACTGTACATACTACTTTGTTTCATTTTGTTATTGCCAATTTATAGATGATGAAACAAAAAGTTTGACATTATTTGCTTAATGTCATACCAGGCAGTCAGCAAGTGGTAGAAGCTGGATACAAACTTACATGCTTTGTTTCTGCAGTTCTGACTTTAAACTGATGCTCAATCTTGTCTTCTCTCTGCCAACTCTGCCCTAAATACAATGACTAATATTTAATATGTGGTTGTAAAGAGAGAAATGTGCTCCAAATACTGAATTTTAAG